CCACTGGTGATCCTGGAGTCCCGCAAACAAATGGGCGCGCTGAAGCATGTGTGGGTTTATTCAAACGTGGTGTCAGGTCGCTCTTAAAGGAGGCGCGACTCGGGCCGGCGTACTGGGCACTGGCTGCTCGCCATTGGTCAATGTTACGGTGGCAGAAAGCTGAAAGGGAGTTGGGGTTAAATCCTAAAGCATTGCTTCCTTTTGGTGCTCAGATTCAAGTCAAACGTCGTCCGTGGGAGTTGCTGGGTCCGGATGGAACAAAGAAAGGTCGGCAATGGGTCGATCGTACGCAGCCTGCGCTTCTTTTGGGTCCATGCGATGACCTACCTGGTGGTTATTGGGTGGAAGCTCAAGGGACTGCAAAAGATCCGGATGAACTGGTGTTATTTCCCTGCACTACGATTTTTTCCAATATAAAGGAACCGCCTGAATTGGAGCTGGAAGGGGTGGTAGAAGAACAGGAGCCTTCTCCTCCAGAGCATCGTCTCAAGGGGAAAAAACCGGCGCTTCGGTTTGCTGATGAGGAAGGACCTCCTTTACCTCCGCCTCGCGATCCTCCAGTTCGCCATCGGTTGATGGAGAAAAGCCCGGCCTCTTTACTGCGTGGTCATGTGGGCTCCTTGCGCTTGCTTCGCAAGCGGGGGGAGAGTCCGCCCTTAGAAATTTTCGAGGATGACATGCAGGGTCTGGGGGAGCTGGAAGAAAATGCAGATGTTGAGGACAATGTTCCTGGTGATGAGTATTGGCCGACTTGCTGTTCTCCTCATGAAAATGCTTATTTGGTCTGCAAAAGTGAGACTGCTGGGGATGGAACACAGTTGGAAAAAGAAGAGCAAAAAGCCAAGTCAATGTATGAAAGGTCTATGTATGATTACGTGGACTGCGAGGAGCTTTTGGAAGGGATTGTATACCCAAAGAGGGTGAATCGAAGAGGTGGTATCAACAATTGGTGCGCAAGTACGCGAGCTCTGGTGTTGGGCCACTATACTCATGGCGGAGTGTGTGGTATCACAAAAGAGACTCATCGAAGACCATGGCTATGTCGTTATTTGGCATCATTCGTGAGGCACCACAATCCTGAAGCCAAATTTTCTGCTCTTCAGATCTCGTGCAATGCTCCGGTGTCATTGCATAGGGATAGTCACAATGAAAAGCATTGCTGCAATTATGTGTGTGGCTTTGGTGACTATAAAGATGGTCAGCTGTGGGTTGAGGATGAAAAGGTTTTAGAGGAAGGAGCTGAAGTGGTGGAGCAATCCTATGGGAAGAAAGTCCTACCTGGAAAATTGGTGGATATCCACTGGAACTTCATGTCGTTCTTTCCGAGAAAGCTGCATGGTCCTATGCCTTGGAAAGGGAACAGGGTATCCTTGACAGGGTACACACCTGTTTTTATGGAGCATTTGAGCTACAAGGATAGGTGCTATCTTCTCCAATGCAAGTTTCCTCTTCCGGAACCACAGGCTGAAGAAGGTGAAAAAAGGAAGTGGTTAAAAATGACGTTGAAAGAGACCTCGCTGGACGACCTTGCAGAAGAAGTCGACTACGCTGTGTTCGAAGCGCATCAATGGGCTCTAGAAGAGCATTTGAGTATTCGACGCCTAATTGCTGAACAGGAATGTTGCATCTTGGACGAGTTCCATGGATCGGCCAATGAGTCGAGTGAAGAAAAAGGATCAGAGACTAGAGAATGGCTGGTTAAAGCGAAAAGGGCTGAGGAACAGCTCTCGAAGTTTTTGGTCAAAGCAGCTCAAGTTCAGCAAATGGTACAAGAAAATACCGCGCTTGAGGCAGCAGAGGAGGTTGAGTTCCTGCAAACAAAAACAATCCCTACACAAGAAGCCATGCAAGAGCTGGAAAAGTGGAGGGAATCATTGTCGGACGAGGTGACGTCTTTGGTAAAAGAGTTGGAGGTGGTGGAACCAACAACTCAAGAAAAGCTGGACAAATTGGCGGAAGAGCCTAATGCACCGGTGATTGAGTACGTTCCCAGTCTGGTGGTGTTTACCCGGAAGCAAGGGACAGGGAGGCGACGTGCCCGTATTTGTGCATGTGGAAACTTCATTTCGTCAACGGAGCTACAGAATATGAAGGGCCGAGGTCACTCAGTCGTCACTCGCTGTACGCTCCAGGTTTAGATTCAACTACATTCAGGTGTCAAGTGAGGCACGCAGCATATATGGTGTGGATCATCGCTGGCTTAGACATTTCCAAAGCTTTTCTGACGGCGCCGATGAATAGGGCGCAAAGAGAAGGGCGTTTGGTGGTGGTGCAGCCCCCAAGGGCGGCGGTGAAATTGGGTCTTTGCACAAAGGAGGAGCGGTGGATTGTGAGAAAGGCCTTGTACGGTTTGGCCGAAAGTCCTGCAGCATGGGTGGAGTGGCGAGACCAACGTCTTCAAGGTATGTCTTGGGTGTCAAAGGATGGACAAGCAATGAGCTTTCAGAGGTCCAATGCAGACCCAAGTCTGTTCCTTATTATGGCACAAGAAAAGCCGGAAGGTGCAAGCAAGTTGGTAGGGACAATGGGTCTTTACGTGGATGATTTTTTGATGGCTGGGACTATGACAGTGCTCCGGGAGGCCTTGGAACAGATTAGGAAGGAGTGGAAAACTTCTGAACCCGAGTTCTGTGGTCCAGGCTGTGGTGATGGATTCCTGAAGTTTTTGGGTGTCCAAATCTGGTATCGAAATGGCAGCTTCTTTCTCAACCAGGAGGACTTTGTGAGAGATTTGCTGAACCGACGAGGGTATCAGATCGATGAAACTGGAAAAGGGAGTAACCTGCCAATGGTGAAAGAAACTCCAGGTGAAGAAGAGGAGGTGGATATTCCTTCCTTGCGAGCGGCTCAAGGTGCCGTAGGGGAGTTCCTCTGGGTGGCAATCAAAACTCGACCTGATTTGGCGTTCTGCACGAGCCAGTTGTCTTTGTGGACATCCCGAAGGCCACGATTTGTGGTTAAAAAGGCTGAGGAAGTTTTCCGATACCTTGCTGCAACTCCAACGTTAGGCTTGACGTTCGGAGCAATCGCAACATGCGAAAAAGAAAGAAATGAGGTGTTGCGTTATGGACGAGGCGTTAAGGTGGTGGAGTCCTACGCGGATGCCAGCTTTGCAGCAGGTGAAAATGAAAAGAGCCACTCAGGAGCGGTGGTGGTGTGGGGTGACTGTCCAGTGATGTGGGCAACACAAAGACAATCAACGGTGGCTTTAAGTACAGCTGAAGCTGAATTACATGCGTCCATAGAGGGAGCAACGATGATTCAGTCGTGCACCCCTATAATTGCCGCTTTGGTTGGAACAGGTGAAGAATCGCTGCAAAAAGTGCTGTATACAGATTCGGTTTCAACGTGCTCGATCATTCAATATCCTGCTGGAAGCTGGAGAACAAGACACCTGAGAATTCGAGCAGCCGGTGTCAGGTCTCTGGTGGACCGTGGTTATATGGTGATAGCGCACCTTCGCGGTGAGTATATGATCGCTGACCTGTTGACTAAGTTAATGAGTGGACAGGTGTACGCAAAGCAAAAGGCACTTTGGGGTCTCAGACTGTTGGTTCAAGGAACTGACTTGAAAAAAGCCTCGCTTGCAATGGCGGTCATGATGGTGGCTGCATCTCTGCAAGGGATGGCAACTGGTGGCGAAGAAGTGTCCACGGCTGGATTCTTTTGCTCAGAAGAAGGGGTGTGCAAGGTCGCCAACACGTCTACGGTGATGGTTCTGGCTCAAGGTATTGAAATGGTTGTCAACAATTCAGACCTTGTTGCGTATTTGGTGGCAGCAATTATACTCTGGGAACTGGCATGGTGCCTCTTTCGACGGCTGTATAAATGGCTGTGGATCAAGAAAGCGGTGGTTATTCCTGCGAGTGCCACTTTGTATACAACAGTGGGTGGGAACTGTATGCACGCAAGCAGTGACTGTGATGTTCTGCGATATTCACAGCCCAGGGCTAAGACGCTTTGTAAGCATTGCCTCAAGGATGGCTGGGTGGTGAATGCTGAGTTCCTTGGTGAGGAACGGGCCGCTGGAACGTGAATTTTCCAAGTACGAGGTGAAGAAATCCTCAATGGTAAAGGATTCAGCCAATGAGCTGAAGGTTCGTCCTGGATGACGTTAAACCATAATGTGCATTTCAAGCAGCTGGCTGCTGCCTAAATGGCGGTTTTTGGCCAAAGAACGGCATCTCCAATGTGTCCTAGGAAATCCTAGGACAGGGGGAGTGCGGAGCTGCAACTGGTATTGTAGAAAAGAGTTGGTGATGGGAGTTGAAGGGGTCAATGAACCCGGATATTTTTGGCTCAAGAAACGTGGGCAATGCGCCCTACGGAAAAGGTGTGTTTGGTTGTGCTTTGGGTTTTGTCTTCGGTTGTTCCAGGGGAATCAAGGGCTTCTGTTGGGGCTGACTGTTTTGTTCCCTGTCCTCCTTCGGTTGCCCCCCGTACCCTAAACCCTAAACCCTAACCACCCCCCCCCCCCCCCCCCCCCCGCCCAAGGCGGTCTTAGTTCTCAAGTTGGTCGCCGAGGGAAAAGTCCAGCTCCCTGGCCTTCAACAGCTGAGTCGCGTTCAACTGGGGAATCATTTTGCCCATCTGCCCGATTTACAGATATACATACACATGCATATACACATACATATACATATACATATACATATGTATATATATATATGTATATCTATATGTATATGTATATGTATATGTAAATGATGTAAATGATGTAAATGATGTAAATGATGTAAATGGAAGAGAGGAGGAGGGGCGAAAAGCTACCGGGCAGCACGAAGCCAACTGGCAATTAGTTCGTCCATGCCAGCCTGTTGCCGTACAGCGCCAGGAACCTACAGGCCCTATACTATGATTACGGGATGTGGAACATGGCTTCGCCGTTTGTGTGTCAGACGTTGTGACGACAAACACACAGGCACACACACACACACACATCTGTCTTGGAGCCATTAGACCCCAAAAGGGTGATGAAAGTAGATGCCGAGACTGCACTCATGCGCGGAGCTTTGAGATTTGCCCTGTGGGCCTATGCCTGGCAAGGAGGCGCTAGTGCGCTGAGCTGGCAGGACTGTGGGCTGCTTGCAGATGAGAGGGGGCTTGAGCTTCTGGAGTATCACCATGAGCCGGATCCGATTGTGCTGGGCCAACCCTACAGCATCACCAGGCGCTTCCGTTCTCTTCTCGACCGCCCCATCCGCAATCTCACAGAGAAGTTCCAGGCCTACAATCGAAGCGGTGAAGCCTGGTCTCCAACCTTCGCGGCCGGGCCCTTCTCACGATGCGGGGACCAGCAATTCCAGACAAAATGCCCTTTGGAGCCCAAGGCGGAGTTCTCGTTCCACGAGCGCCACCCTACCACCCATGCTCAGCTCGGCGAGCACCGGGCCGTGGAGCACTACTTTGCTGATGGTGCCTTTGTGGGCTGCGCGGTCGTCGTCTACCGCTACGTGCCCGGCATTGTGCTCGCATAGGCAGCTATGCCGTTTGGTTGGGGCAGCCAGCCTGGTCGAACTCAAAGGGTGCGGCTGCCAAACAGTGTACATACCAGCACCCATCTTCTTCAAGCCGAGATAGGGGGGGTTGACGCTCTACGCTTGTGTTTGAAAAGGCTCATGCACAGTGAGTCCGTGAGCATCTACGGTACCGCACGAGTATAATGTAACTGTTGCGAGGCATGCCAGGTGGGTTTCGTATGACCTCAGGATTCAGCCTTCTTGTGTTGTGTCCTAATCCTGAATTTAGGTGTGGCTAGCATGAAAGTGCCCTCTGTTTGCCCCAATGTGCCTGAACGTATTATTATTATTATTATGATTATTATTATTATTATTAATTACTTGCACAGTCTGCCGACATCCCTAAACCCTAAACCCTGAACCGTAAACCCTACATTTTGGTTATGTGCAGGCTGGACAAGCCTGCGGCCACGTACGTGGATGGCGTCCTTCAGCGCTTGAGCCTCGTCTGCAAACTCGGTTTAGGGTTTAGGGTTAGGGTTTAGGGTTTAGGGTTTAGGGTTTAGGGTTTAGGGTTCTCTACATCACAGCTCCTTCCTGGATACCCAAAATGTCAGGCTCCATAAGATCATGAAGGGGATATAATCGAAAGAGGACTGCCTCCTTGCCTCCAGAACCGCGTTTGAAGAGGCGACGCCCTGCGCGAAGCTCTGGGGAGCGATGACGATTAGTGCTGGGAAGGGAATCCTCCTCGCAAGCAACCGAGGCAAAGAACGTGAGCCCTGGACCATTTTGTTCTCGCCACTTTAGTCGCTGCATGGTGTTTCACCTTGTCGAATATCTGCTAAGACTACCCCCCTCCTCACATAGTGGACCGAGAGCGGGCAGTGCTGTAGCAGCTGCCGACACACTGCTATCGGAGGACCTTGGGCTTTGTTTGCCTCGCTTGGCTTGGCGGAGCGTGAGCGATCTAACCCCAAAACCCTTTTGCAGCAACCTTAAACCCTAAACCCTCCTATAACCCTAAACCAGCGTTGCTTCCCCAGCCCTAAATTCCTGAAGCCCGACGAAGCGCCTACATAAACCCTAAACCCTAAACCCTATACCCTATACCCTATACCCTATAAACCCTAAATCTACAGTCACAGGAATGGCACCTCCATGGTGGGACTGTTCGGGCAGGAGGCAGCGCAAGTCACCGTGGGCCATCTCCTGCGTGCCTCGTTACCTTGGGATTAGGGTTTAGGGTTTAGGGTTCAGAGGTCCGTGTTAAAAAAAGGGTTTAGGGTTATTTAGGGTTTAGGGTTCAGGGTTGGAGCATGCAACAAGTAGTCGGAACGAAAGACTGACACCCACCTCCATCTTGAATCTGGCTAGTCCTCAAGCCCAGTTGCAAAAAAGGGTTGAGGGCTTCCGGGCGAAGTGGCAAGCCTGCTGCAAAAAGCAGCGTTGAGGATTTCAGGGCTCATGTGCGTCTTGTCTGCGCTCTCTCATCACCAGCATTTGGCCGATGTTGGCTGCTGTCCACATGGGTGGTCGTCAACATCATGGACCCTTTCTGGATCCCTACTACAATACGGCACCTAGTATTTCCAAAAGGGATCAGAATTTCGACAACCCCCCACATGCTCAGAGCAGAAGCCTTAAAGACCCCGATTCCAAGGCATGCAGAGTGGCCTCAATGATTTTGACGTCCCGGACTTTGACAAGGCAGCATCCTGGCTCCCGAAACCCTAAACTTGGGATGTTCCCCCTTACACTGACAGTCCTTAATAGGGAATTATAATAGGGGGTACTATTGAGGACCGTTAGCATAAGGGGGAGCATCCCAACCCTAAACCCTAAACCCTCTTGTGTTGCCTCAGCTCCCTACAGGTGGCTCTCACAGATGAAGCCTCCGCCCATGTGCTCAGCTACTCTCCAAGATGTGTCAAACATTTTGGAGAGGGTTTCCAGAAACGAGCGTCCCCCTTCATGGGTCTAGGGTTTAGGATTTAGGGTTTAGGGCGCAGGGTCTAGGGTTTATAGGGTTTAGGGATGTTTAGGGTCTGAAGGTAGAAGAATCACCTCGTCACAGGGCCCCCCCCACCGGCCTCGAGTTTTCGGAGCCTGCCCTCGCCCATTTCAGCCCAAAACCCTGAACCCTAAACCCTAAAACCCTAAACCCTAAACCCTAAACCTTCAGCACAGTGGAAGGCCCTCCTTCAGCATGGCGACACGCTGCATAGCCCCATGGAGTTCTTGCAGCTCGGCGCGGCTTTGGAGAAGGGCTTAGGGTTTAGGGTTTAGGGTTTAAGATGCAGAGTGAAGACGTTCAGCCATGCGATGCCTACACATGGGGTGGTCACTGTGCAGAAAGATACTAGTTGAACCCCTTCAAGGAGACGATGGCACTATTGTGGCTGATGTTGTTGTCATGCATGCCGCATCAGAACTTGTCCTTGCCATGCCTTGTCTGTCTGACACTCGCCTGCTGCGAAAATTTTCAGGGCTTGAATGCCGCTTGAGGATCCACTCCTAAACTTCACACATGTAAGGCCACAGCTGACGGCCCAGCAAAGCACAAGTGCGTACAAGGTATAGGGGACAATCTCGACATACAGTCCCTCTTAAAGCAGCGTTGCTTGAGAGGAACCGCGTAGGCGGTGCTTTCCCCTCAGCAAGTTCCGTAGCAATGAAGTTGACGCTGTTCCACGCGCTGTTGACCTTGGCAGCCGCAGGGAAGTTCCACACTCGTCGGACGATTCTCAGTGTGGACACATCTGTCTCGGTCAACGAGAGCAACGTCGCCCAAGCCTGGCTCCACGCCCCAGGCAACCTCCCGAAGTGCCATGAGAAGAAGGTTGTGGGCTCCAGTGATGACAAGTTCCTGCAGTGCCCGAAAGAATGCCCAATCTATGCCGATGACCGTGCGGATGGCACTGACTGCAACTTCGAGTGCGTGGAAGCAACTCCGAAGGCGTGCACGGCCGTGAACGCCAAAGAGCCTGTCCCTGACAAGGAGCGGGGCATTTGCCGAGCTTGCATTATCTATGGCTGTAAGGCCTGCACCAGCGAGGGCCAGGACACCTGTGCTGTCTGTGAGTCGGGCTTCAAGTTGAACGCGGCTGGCAAGTGTGACAGTACAAACACGTACTACTGGTACGCACTCTTTGCTGTGCTTGGAGTTGTGGCGCTCTTCATCGTCGGCTGGGTTGTTGACATCGCTCGCCGCCCGATTGTCAATGCTCAGGGCCTCAAGGGTGCGCTTGATGCTCGGTCGCGCTCCAAGGTACACATGCCGAAACAGTCCGGCTCTGACGCAGGACGAGATCTTTACCCTTTGCACACCAACCTCCTGAAGACGCCGGTGGCCGGCATTGGTGTGCAGCTCCACTTCAACTTCCAGTTCTTCCTTATCGTTTGGTCGTTGGCTATCGGTTTGGCGTGGCTGATTCTTGCCCTCTCCGTGGACGATGCGCTACTCATCCTCGGCACTCGTCGCGCCAAGACAGCTCGACAGAACTGCATCCTTGTGGCCTGGGGCTTCGAGACGCAGCAGCGCCTGATGTGGACCAAGATCGACTTTGTGGCGTGTGCATACCTACTCACCTTCTTGGGCTGCTTGGCCTTTGGCGTGCGTCAGCTGCGTATCTTCCAGAAGGTGGACATGCAGAACTCCACGCACAAAGATTACGCTGCCCGGGTGAGGAACCTCCCATTAATGGATGGAACGGAGCCTGTGGAGGAGGAGCTGAAGAAACGCATCGAGGATACCACTGGTCAAAAGGTCGTGGGCGTCTCTGTGTGTTGGGATTTTCAAGAGCATGAGGACGAGCTTATGGAACTCATTGAGAGTAAGCTTGTTGAGAAGGAGGAGATGCTGCACCCCCCGGCCAGTCAGGAGGAGCACCCCGAGCCAGAGAGCTTCTTCGCCCGAATGGAGCGCTCGATGCTGGCAGCTGATGCAGAGAAGGTCGTGGCCAAAGGCGAGATGACTGAGGAGGAGCAGGAGCATGCGAAGAAGGATGCTGCTGCGCACCCAGAGGAGGAGCACGTGGAAGAATGCAAGGAGGTTGACATCGTGGGCATCCTGAAAAGCATCAAGACGTGCCCCGACGCCTATGCGATTTTCGAGACAGAAGCTGCTCGTGATGCTGCGGTCGAGGCTGTCCACGGCGGAGGCATCGAGTTTGCGGGAAACACCATTACCTTGAACGCCTCCCGCGTGGAGCCGCAGACAGTGAACTGGCGGAACTGTGCCAACACAGACCTGATGGTAAAGGCCAAGCGCATCGGCTTTGGCTTCCTGATCATGCTTGCAGGTCTCACATTGTGGGTGGTGGCTTTCTACTTGCCCTATGCCTGGTTCACCTTGACGTTCAACTATTCATATGGGCAGGAACCAGGCTTCGTGGCAGGGATGACTTTCTCCATGGTTGTTGTGGCTGGGAATGCCTTGATGTACCTGGTCTGCAGTGAAGTCGCAGATCGCACGCGCTTCATCTATGTGGATGACCGGGAGGTGTGCTACATGTTGCTCTACTGCTTCGCGTGTGTGTTCAACGTGGCGCTGGACCTGATCACCACTTACATGGTGGCATACCGTATCAACGTGGGCTTGCGCATGAAGACCTACGACGGCACCCTCCTGGAGAACCTCCAGCACTTCTCCGACCGTTTCGAGTCCTATGCCATGCAGCGCCTGCTTGCGAATAACCTTTACGCCTACGCCTTCCCTGCCACGTTCCTCATCCCTTTCTTGATCGAGCCAGTCGCCACCATCTATGCTCCTTACAAGATGATGCTGGCCATTGTGCGGACACAGCCGTGCATGAAAGGCTTCATGGCCGAGCGCTTGTTGGGAAGTCTGGTCTTTGACCTCTCCCGCTACGCCGATCTCATGTTGGATGTTATGATTGCTGTGCTGATTTTCTTCTTCCCCGGTGGCTTCAACATTCAGATGTTTGTTGGCCTTGCCGGTTCGCACTTGTACCTATATCCCCCTTGGGAATCATTTTTTATTTGGGTTTATAAAAAAGCCAAGAGGATATTCCACATATTATTTATGAAGGTTCTAAGGGGAGTATAGGTACATCTACTTCTTCGACCACTACCGCGTCCTGCGATCCATCCAGAGCTGCAACTACGCAGACAAGATGGTTGATTGGTGGTCTCAGTGGATGATGTGCATTCCCTGTGCCTTCATGCTGGCTTGTGTGGTGTTCAAGGCCAACTGCCAGGCAGGCTACCCGTGCGTGGACGGTGACACCATGATCATTGCCTGCGTGGTTGCATTTTTTGGCCACATCGTACTACACACACTTGCGCTCAAGTTTGTTGTGCCAAAGCTCGGCCTCTTTGGGGAGTCGGATGGCGCAGAGACCAACACCTACCAAGATTGCTCCAAGCGCATCCCATGCTCTTGGTTCACTGCAAATCCGGTATACTGCCTGCGCTCACAGTACATCTACAAGCACAGTCCCCCCTGCACTTTCTGCCTGCCAGGAAAGGAGCACCTCCTGGAAGTGAACGAGGATATCGGCCTCTACTTCAACGATGCCCCGGCCAAGGAGGAGGATTACGATGCGCCGCACGTGGATGTTGAGGCTGTGAAAGCAAACCTCCAGGATCTCCGCGGCAAGGCATCAGAAAGCTTCGAGCAGCTCAGGGGAAAGGCCAGCGGGCAGTTGGAGGAACTGCGAGGCAAGGCATCGGGACACTTCGAGGAGCTGAACAAGCAGATGTCTGGGCACTTTGAGGATTTGCAGGGCAAGATGTCCGGGATGTCTGCCGGCATGTCCAGCACACTAGGAGACATGCAAGGCAAGATGTCCGGAATGTCAGCTGGAATGTCCAGCACCTTCGAAAATTTGCACGGCAAGATGTCCGGCTCCTGGTTCGCGAGCAAGAAGGAGGAGACTGATGCTGCTGGTGAGACCGGCGAGACCGGCCAGAGCGGAGAGAGCGGCGAGAGTAGCAGCAAGTGAGAATCCGTTGAGGGCGAAGCCTGCTAGTAACCATCCAGTTTTACCAGGACCTTGAACCAAGAGCCTCGCCCGCGTGCGCTCGTGTGAAAGTCAAAACGGCTGAAAGCCTCAGTCTCTTGATCGCGTGTGTCCAGATGTTGGGACCCTCAAAATAAAACAGGAGCCCAAAGAATTGCCCAACTTTGTCCCCCCTTGTGTTGCATACTCCCTCGAATACCCTATATGAGGCGCAATAGACAAAGTCCCTTGTTCAAGAGGCCCCTCGAATATCCGAAATCCAGGCATGGGGCGGCCAAGCAGAGTCCGGTCTTCCTTTGCAACCCGGGCAATTGCACGAGCTACACCAGAATCTCGAGTGAAATGGCGGGGGGGGGGGGGGGTGGCCAACGTTGGCCCAAGCGTTCATTGCATTCCTTTTTTGACCGAACCCTGCAAAGCACGAAATGCGCGTGAAGTGTCTGCGATGTGCCGAAGTGGCGAAGATGTTGCATTCGGGAGTTCGTGTGTGGAGCACTTTTCATCTACCTTGCTCCTAAACCCTAATAAACCTAATCCTCTGACCTCTTTAAGGCACCAACTACATTTTGGCTGGCTTTGTGGCGTTGGGTGCCGCTGGTGGGGAAACTGCTGACTGGTCTGCGCTGGACCAGAGCCAGATCTTCCCCAAGCCTGCACCGGGTCCGAATTATTGGTTAGGGTTTAGGGTTTAGGGTTTAGGGCCTAGGGTTTAGGGTTTAGGTATTCACGACAACGTGAGATCAGACGCATTGGTATCGCAGAACTTGGTACAATAGTTAGTTATACTAGGACCCAGAGTAGATAAACCTCTGTAGACGGAAAAAAGGGTACCCTTGTTGTTCTTACGCTTATTAGGTCCCTACACCCTAAACCCTAAACCCTAGTATAGGGACTAAAAGGATCCAATGGCACTTCAATCAGGGTCTGCGTCGACTCCCGATGTCTGCAGGTCGGCGCGAAGTATCAGCACTGTACCTTTGCAGACAAGGGACAGCTGAACAAGAGCCTGACCATCGCAGGCCTCGGGTGTGGTGAGGCATTCAGGGTTTAGGGGTAAACAGGTTTAGGGGTAAACGGGTTTCGGGGTAAACGGGTTTAGGGTTTAGGTTTTAGGGTAAACGGGTGCAGGGTGTAGGGATGACTTCTCTCCAAAATGCATCCCATCATTGATGGGTTCAGCAATGCTGGTTCCCATTCCATGACAGGGAGGTTTCTGAGAGGAGCGGAGTGAGCAGGAGAAAGTAGGTTCTGAAACCCTAAACCCTAAACCCAAAACCGTAAACCCTAAACCCTAAATGCATGTCGCGGCATCCTTGCCGTCAGGCGCCTCGGGCGGTATTTTCCGACACACGCGCGTGGCATCCCAGGATGCGTCCATCCTTGGCTGGACCCAGCAACAGACTAGGGTTTAGGGTTTAGGGTTTAGGGTTTAGGGTTTAGGGTTTAGGGTTTAGGGTTTAGGGTTTAGGGTTTAGGGTTTAGGGTTTAGGGTTTAGGGTTTAGGGTTTAGGGTTTAGGGTTCGGAAGGGTGCGCTGTGAGGCCTGCGTTTTCGACATGCTTCTTCTCAAATGAGCCGGGTTGTCGTGCAGAGGCTGTATACTCAACCTTTGACTGGTTAATTCGTTAGCCTACTAAATGGTTAGGCTTATAGGGTTTGCTTTGAGTTTTGCCTGAGGGATTAGGATTGAATGAGTTCAAGCTGGCCTGCTGCTTACTGCCGAAGGTGCTTGTTATTTTATGTTTCTCCCCGCCTGTCGGATGTCTACTTTGAAGAGCCCTAAAAACCCTAAACCCTAGAAATCCTAAGCTTACAACTAAAGTCATTCTTTGGGATGTTCCAGCTTATTTTGGTGAGAACATCCCAAAAAGTCAGTGTGGTATCAGAGGCTGCCCGGGAGGGGAAACCTGTCAGTGAGCTTGGAGGTTCATAGGTACTTATAACCCCCCACTAGAAGTATACTGAGAACCTACTTAGGGAACTTAGGGGGCTTGTAAGCAGACTTGTCATTCCTTGGGGACGAGATGAACCCTAAAAGGGTTTATGGTTCATATGCTAAGGCATAGGGATTATAGTAGTATAGGGTATATGACCCCAATTTTAGGGTTCATTTGGTCCCCAAGGTTGGGGTTATAAGTACCCTGAACCTCCAAGAGGACCTGCGGCAACTTGATTTCACCGGCCTCGGCTGCTGCGGCACCTCGGGGCAAAGTCCATTGTACTTTCATTAGGGTTGAGGGGGGTTTAGGGTTTAGGGTTTGGGGTTTAGGGTTTAGGGTTTAGGGTTTAGGGTTTAGGGTTTAGGGTTTGGGCTTAATTAAGGATTTGCCGTGAAGGGGTTTTGAGAGACTGAATGAGTCTGGGTGCAGCATTCCAGCGCCTGACCTTTGTTGGGAGCAGGTCAAGAAATTTCAAGGGCCATTTTAGGAGTGTTTTGGTCCCCCCGCCCGGGGGGGGCCAAGAGCATACACATTAAGAAATTGTTTTTACTAACCCTAAACCCTAAACTAAACCCTCAGCCCTACACCCCAAGCCCTATAAACCCTAAACCCTTCCCTTAACCCTTCCATGGATCAAAGGGAGGTTCAGTTGCCAAACTCTGTCCCTTCCTCGCTGCATGCCTGTTAACTCTAACCCAGTTACCAGAATTGGGTGATGTAGCAAAGAATGTCGTTTCCTGATTTTGGTATCTTGGCTCTTAATGGTAAGTTTTGGAATGCTCCCCCTTCTTCTAACAGTCCTGAATGGGTATAGTACCCGCTATGAGAATCCCTATTAAGGATTGGTTGAAAAGGGGGGGAACATCCCAAGGCAAGTTCAGGGAACAAGACTCCTCCCTGACGCTGCCCGCAAGTTCACTGACCTCTGTGCCTGTGCCCCTAAACCCTAAACCCTAAACCCTAAACCCTAAACCCTAAACCCTAAACCCTTGAACCCCGGAGTCCACTTGGACTCTAAAGTTCTCGAAAGGTTCCCGGTGGGAACCCCGAGCTAAAGCCCAAGATTGCAGGGTTTGGGGTTTAGGGTTTAGGGTTTAGGGTTTAGGGTTTAGGGTTTAGGGTTCAGGGTTCAGGGTTCAGGGTGCAGGTTTGGGGTACGTAGTACAGGTCCATGGACTCTTTGGGGGAAGATGCCGGAAGCAGGCAAACTGAATCTGACGAATGCTTCTGCCTCATGGTTCTAAGGCCCTCATCAAGATGCATAGTGTTTCTCAGGGTTACATAACAGATCATAGCAGGGGACCCAACTTAAGACCCCATACTTCGGCTCCCCTCATGGCTCATGGTTGAGAAAGGAGTTTTTCTATGACCTGCTGCTTGCCAAGCGGATCATTCCGGGAGACATGGTCGATGCCATGCAGGCCTGCAGCTCTGTTGGCCTCTGATAGGCAGCCGAAGTGCAACATGGGGGGTCGGAAGAATGACGAATAGTATTGCCTTAGGGTCCCTTCATAATGATGCTAAAAAACAACCCCCCCGAAGCCCTGTTCCATTGATTAAGGGCCCTATATTATCCCAGCATCCCAGAGACCCAAGTTCAACAAGCCAACCGAACCGCCCTCTTCAGAAAAGTGGAGCCGCGCAGGACGTATCACTTCTGACCGTCCTACGGCAGAAACGAAGAGGGGGGTTGACGGAAACATAGGTTCTCAGTGTTTCCTTTATAGTCAGGACCCCAATAAGGTACCCCTAGTTTCGGAAATTTCCGTAAGACTGCAAAAAAGATCAGCCCGTCCATGCCTGTGGAGGACTGGCGGCCTCTGAGCGTCGGATGGGCAAAGGGTCAGATCCAGTATGGCACAGGCCTGATGATCCAGTGGCTCGGCTCACACTCACTGAGACACAGCGTGTTTCAAGAGTTGAATCCGCGGATATCCGCGGGTTCATGACTCTCTCCCCCCTATACCACTTCAAAAGCAGACAGGATCACAAAGGCTATGCGTCATGGCGCTGCTCATGAGTGACATGGACCCTCCAATAGACTGCAGGATTTCGAGGGCGGCTTGCAGGTTCAGGTTTGTGGGGGCTTGTCAAGGCAGACCAGCTGGAATGCAACCTACCCGCCGGTCCTGGGCAGTTGGGGATCCTACGTGGGACATGGAGGTGGGTCTGCACTGAGTCCCATGCACACCACTTGTGATAGGATTGCTGCGAACCCCTCCACTGCTACAGTTACTGCTACATGCTTTCTGCGATTTCCAGGGCGGGGGAAGAGTGGGTTCCCCTTAATCCTCGAAGGAGACACTTATGGCTTCCTATCGGAGAGTGGCATCCTCCCGCAGTTCAACGCGTCCTTCTCAGCCATTGCGAACCAGGCAGATGCCGGTTTTTGTTCCAGGGGGGTCGGACTACTTACTTCGCCTTTAGCTGAACTTTAAATTTTTTGGGTTTCCTTTTTTAGCAGCATTAATACTAAAGCTTAACCTTTTTTCCCCTTGGTTATTGGAGAAGTAAGACTATGAGATGTTTGCCAGGCTTGTACTTCTGCGTAGCTGCACCCCAAGTCGGCTGCCTCTTCGACCCCGCGTTGCTGCCGAACGCCATGGCCCCCCGAACTGCTTCAGTTCCTAAACCCTAAGCCCTAAACCCTAAACCCTAAACCCTAAGATGTGCTGTGCCTAGACCGGGATCGACACTGCAGAGTCTAGGCTCTCGTCATGGTGCTGGCGAGCGTTGCCGACCCAAAGTGAAAGTAGACTTTCTTCACCGGCCTTCTCCAAATCGTGGCCGGCGAACCCTAAGCCCTCAGTGCGGATGGCAAAAATTCAAACCCTAAACCCTAAACCCTAAACACCAAACCCTAAACCCTAAACCCTACAGGACTACATGGGAACCTTCGTGAAGAACCTCCTGGTTTGCAGCATCATCGAAGTGGCAGCCCCTTTCTTACGCATATGCCAGACATGTCTTCCACAGCTTGGCTGAATCTGGCCGCCCTGGGGTTTAGGGTTTAGGGTTTAGGGTTTAGGGTTTAAGGTGCATGACTAGTGCTTTTCGTGAGAAAAGCCAAGGCTAAAGTGCTCTTGGACCAGGACATCTACTTGAAGCCAGGGCCAGAGAGGGAGTTTGCTTTGGAAGTGCGCACAAAAACCCCACACCCTAAACCCTACAGCAAGACCATGGGACAGAGTGTGCCTCGCCTGGCGTGTCCGAGCGTGAGTAAATTACACCCTAAACTCTAAAACCAAAAAACCAAGGCTTGCATTATGAGAGTGAGCTATAAACTGTAGTGCTTTGCAGCGAGCGGTCCAGTCTGGGCCTTAGAAAAGCACAGGATTTCGGGCCAGGGTTTGGGGAGTTCTTGGCTGAGGTGTGGCCTCCAGCCCTTGCTCTCCGAAATAGTTGTGTGAGTCCAAAGACGAGTGCCACGTCTCACAGATGGTTAGCGTTCGATGAGAATTCTCGGCCTCTTTCTTCGGTTCAGCTTGCTGGAGTTAGGGTTCAGGGTCCAGGATATCAAGCCCTAAACCCTAAACCCTAAACCCTAAACCCTAAACCCTAAACCCTAAACCCTAAACCCTAAACACCAACCTTGGGGGTTCTACGATCTTAGGGGATGCCTTATGGGGGTCCTTCTTATCAAGGCATGGGGTCTCTATTGGGGGTCCCTTCTTGTCGTAATCCCCCCCCCATTTGTGCCCCAAACCCTAAACCCTAAACCCTAAACCCTAAACCCTAAACCCTAAACCCTAAACCCTAAACCCTAAACCCTAAACTCTAAACCCTAAACCCTAAACCCTAAACCTAAAGTCAGTTGGATGATTTGATTGCTTGGCTCCTGTCGTTTCACAGCACAGCTCCGGCGCTGCGGCTTGCGCGCGCAGGCTGTGCCACCCATGTTAGACAGGTCCCCCGCGCTTTCAGCGCACTCTTTTGTGAGCTTCGCTTTCATGTTGTGGGCACGGAGAGGCTTGTGGTGTTTGAAGCTCTTACGGCTTTTTGCACTTCCATTTGTAGAAGCTCATGCCTCAATGTCATGGCGATCGCCACATTGAGCCGTACAGGAGCATTACAAAAAGGACCATGGTTCGGGATCCTTCCCTTGGTCGAAGTACACTAGCTATCCTGGTGGCTTCTGGGCATCTCCTACGAGCGATAGCAATGCCAGCATCTTGCATGTGCATCTACGCTGTGCACGCATCAGCCATGAATGACTGCTCTATGCTACGCAGGCCGGTTCCAGAGACTGAAACACAGGTCTACCGCACGCAGAGCACGCTGCCAACTAGGTGATACCCTCCGACCCCAGTGCTGCTAGCTTTCCGATTTCATGTCCTGTCATCAGAGTCACTAGGAAGGAGGTGTTGTGTAAATGAAGGTCATGCAAGCTCATCTCCTCCCTAGCAGGACGGGCTGTTATACACTATAAACCCCTTCAACAGGGCCCGTTAGAGGGTTGAGTATGGGGATTATAGGGCCTCTTTTCGCCCATCCTGGTAGATTCCGGCTGTTCGGCTTTGGGCTTGCGGGCCGCCTGCCCGCCAACCACGGCCATGGCAAGTCAGCTGGCCAGTGCGCAGAAACGTCTGCGCCGGCTTCTGTCGGCGGGATTTTGCGGGCATTCATACATAACCCTAAACCCTCATTCTCCAGAATACTGCCTGCTAACATGTTCTTGCAGTCAAATCTGATTGAGGGCCGGGAGAGAACGTCCAGCCCGTACGTGTTGCCGAAACAAAAGCGTTGAACCTTACGCTGTAGTGGTAGGGCACCCTAAGCGTATGAGAGTCTGTCGCTCTCGTTTACGTCAAGCCAGCATCTTGTTTTCAATTACGGTTCTAAGGGCAGTAGAGCAGCAGGCAGACACCCTAAAGAACCCCTTTAAAGAGCACGTGACGCAGATCAACCCAATTAGGTCATACGTCCCGTTAACCCTAAACTGGAGAGTTCGGGAATGTTGATCGGTGATTGTTTCCTATCTACAGTATACTGTGGCTGGAAACAAGACGGGAGGCATGATGGATGAGCACAATTGCTTTCTGGGACCCTAAACCCTAAACCCTAAACCCTAAACCCAAAACCCTAAACCCTAAACCCTAAACCCTAAACCCTATAAACCCTAAACCCTATAAACCCTAAACCCTAAACGATCCTCTTGCATGTTGCCTGTTTCTGGGTGATGGGCCATGCCTCCCTTGCGTCCAAGACGGGTCATAAACTTGCAACCCTGAACCCCTGAACCCTGAACCTTAGTGGAGTCCCCCGAGGCTCTACAACAACCCTAAACCCTAAACCCTAAACCCTAAACCCTAAACCCTAAACCCTAAACCCTAAACCCCAAGGACTATCATACTGTGGACCTACTGCCTCGCCTTTGTACTGTCCGAGTGGGAGTGATGAACCCTGAGCCTTAGTTCTTGAAGAGTTATAAGGAGGGAGCGCTAGAAAAAAAAAAAAAAACTTAATCTTCTTCCCCTATATCCCTAAACCCTAAACCCTAAACCCTGAACATATATATATATACATATATATATAAAACCCCTATATAGACACCTATTGGTCACTCCTTAAGGCCTTTGAGTCCTGCAGGCCAATCCAGCCCTCAAGAGTGCTGCCGTGTTGGCGACCAAGGGCGCTGTGGGTGCCTAAGACCACCTGGAGGGGTTGGCTTGGGTTTAGGGTTTAGGGTTTAGGGTTTAGGGCTTAGGGTTTAGGGTTTAGGGTTCAGGGTTTAGGGTTTAGGGTACTTATTCACCAATTATAACTGTACTTCTAACCCCAATTATAACCGTATTAGGGCACTTCAGGGGCTTATAAGTGGGACATAAGTACAGTTAGAATTGGTCAATAAGTTCCCTGAACCTTCAAGCACACGTTGTGGCTAAGCTCAGTGCGGTTGAGGGTTTGGTGCTTCGATCTCAGGGCGGTGTAGGCAGTGGTGAGGGTTTAGGGTTTAGGGTTTGGGGTTTAGGATTTAGGGCTTTGGCTTCTTGATTGCAGTGTTCATGGGATGTTCACCATGCGAGTTCTGAGGAGCATGGCTGCAGTATCCTGGGCTGCCAGGTTGCCACGTGAAAAACAGAACGTGTTTGGGTAGCATCTGCAATCATGCTATGTACATGCGCATGTTCATGGGCTGTTCTTGCACAGTATCATAGTTTAACATTTTTATGTATTAGCCTACGTATATGACTTCTCTACTACTTTTTCCTAATGTTATGTGTGCCAAGCCCAAAGAACCCTCAAAACCCTAAAGCAAAAAATCCGCTAAACCCTAAGAAACCCTAAGCCCTTTCAAAGCCCACATCGATACGAGAAAATCTCAGAGGCAGCCACCGCAGCCGGCGGCTTGGGCTTAGCCCTTGGGCTGCGGGAGGCGAAAAGGATGCCTGATGCCTAGAGCGGGGATTTGTCTATCTTGGGGTTTAGGGTTTAGGGTTTAGGGCCCTCAGCATTCCGGCAACGCCCTCAGTCCGGCTGCAAAAAGGGTTTAGGGTTTAGGGTTTAGGGCGGAAAGGGGGTCCACGAAGTGGTTCCATTCCTCCTCATGCTGCAAAGCTTCCTTCATGCTCAGATATCACAGATGATGAGCTGTGGTCGGATGTGATCCTGCCTTAGTATTCCTGATGTGGAAGGAGTATCGCGTAGTGTCTACTTGGTCCATCCTGCCGAGCAGGTGGACTCATAGTGTTCTTCGGTTTGCGGGTCTGTCAAGGGATTCAGACTCGTACCCTTAAGGTTGTACCCCTAAAGGTTCCCCCTAATATACTCCTAATATGGCCCTCATATTCCCTTAAGGATCCTTAAAAAGGGGCCCCAAAACCCAAGGGTACAACCTTAAGGGTCCAAGGTAGAACCCCTAGAGTCTGCTGGTCTCTGACTAGGGGGGCTCAGTCCTGGCATGAAGCAGCTTCCAGGTTCATTTAGGGTTTAGGCGGCATGACGTTTACACCTCGAGTGTCTCGGGCTTGGGCTGAACCTCTCCCCCTCTTAAACTTTGGGGAAGCTGCTCCCCCCCTCCCCCCCCCCCCCCCCCAAATACCACCCCCCCCCGCCCACCCCGCCCAAAAAACACCCCCCCCCCAACCCCACTCCCCCCAAAAAGCCCCCGCACAACTCAAGATTCAGCACCAGAGGCTGCAGCACGAAACGCCCATCGACTTCTGGCAGGAGGTCTCCGTGGATGCTTTGCCCTCAGATCCTTCCCCGGCTTGGTAGCCGAGTGGTGCCCTTTACCCTTTTCTGGGTTCTTGGTTCCCTTATGAAGTAACCAACCCCCCAAGAAAGGGTGCCCTTATTTCATATGGTTACTGGACTGCTAAGACAAAGAGCTTGAAAAGATATGAGAGGTTCTTCACAAAGGAGCTGCTCTCTACGAACTTCACCTTCGCACCCCCAGCACTATAAGGGACATAAGGGGGTTTAAGATATTAGGGGTACCTTATCGGTTTCCTTATTGTAAGGAATTCCTGTAAACCCCCAGAATACTTCGCATGTGCAGCGCAGGCCCAACCAACAGCCGGCAAGACCTTGCAGCTTGTAGACACCCTACGTAGTAGCTGAGCAGGTAGCCTTTGACCTTTTCGGGGCAAATTATAGTCCTACCATATTTGAAAGGTCAACCTTCTTTTGGCCTAGGGTACTCAGCAACTAGGCGTAATACCCATCTGCCGTGACAACTGCCCAAAGCCTTAAATGGTTCGTCCAGCTGTGCAGGTGGCGAAAGAAACTCTTTGTCTGTCTATCCGCAACTCTCCCTAAACCTTAAACCCTAAACCCCAAACCCTAAACCCTAAACCCTAAACCTCGAAGGTCAGAAGCAGTGCGGGCGCCGTGGGCCTACAACCTTCACCTTCATGTTGCGCCCTCTCGCTACTCACGGCCGGCTTTTTGCATCCTCGCTTACATCCACCGCCAGTGTGTGGAATTAATTATGTGTGTAGAATATCATACGTGTGATGTTATGTGTGTATATAAATATCTGTATTTATGTAGAGAGATACGTCTTTGAAAAAAATGGTTCCCCCGAAATACTGCAACCTTCCCCTCCTAAATTCTCAGATTGTCCTCCGGTCTGTCCTACTTATTAACCAACTATAGCTGTACTTTTAACCCAAATTATAGCCATATTAGGGCGCTTCAGGGCCATATAAGTGGGTTATGAGTACAGTTATAATTGGTCAATCAGTACCCTGAACCTCCAAGAATCTGTCTCCATCTATCTCCCTCGCTTTCACGCATATGACTCTCACTCCTCACAATGCAGTTCGAGGGTGCATGGTCCACTGGTCTGTTCTGTTCCCAGGCTTCGCGGTCTTCTGCCTCTGCCGCAGCGTCAATACCGGATCTTTGTGCCGGGCTCTTGGGGCTTGTAGGGCTTCCGGGTATGCGTTGTCCTAGCAGGCTTACAGCAGGTGCTCGAAGGTCAGAGCAAGGCTCGCATGGGTGCTGAGATGCCGCTGACGTGTTGATCGGTTGCGTCGTTTCTCAGCCATGAGTCATGAGCACAAACTGTCGCATCTCCCAGTGTTGTCCTGGCCTGCTTAGATATTGGGGTGCCGCGGCACCCTCAACCCTATAAACCCTAAACAGTGCTCCAGTGCTCCCTGAGGCCAGGAATGCCTTGAAGGAGGAGGAGTTTTGGGGCGCTGCCTCCAGGCCACCTTTCCCAGAACCTGCGATTTTGACCCAGCGCGTGTTGTTTAGGGTTTAGGTTTAGGTCCAAAGCTACTCGGCAGGCTATTGGGACATTTTATCTTTTCGCTTTTTGGGTCCTCTTACAGACATTTTTCATAGATTGTCAGTAAGTTAGGATCCGGCTGAGCATGGAGTCAAAAACGGGTCTAAGAGGATCATGTCCAGGAACATTTTTGTCAGAGGGTTTTAATAGGGCCATCCTGGGTTCGGAGAAGTGGGTTTAGGGTTCAGGGTTTAGGGTTTAGGGTTTAGGGCGTATGTGAGGAAGGATATGGGGGCTTCCGTGTTGTGGGGGGGTTTCCTAAGTGTCGGTGTTGTTGGTACGGGGGGACCCCTGTTTTGGGAGATGCCCATCTTAGGCCACATTCTTCAGAGGTTCCAGGGCCAACCTAGCAACGTCTTTCGGGAAGTACCCAAAACCCAAAACCCTTGTTCAGTGTGGACACTCTGAAGTAGTTCCGGCGGTGTGCGCGAGTGCTGGGCGGGTGGCAAAACCCTAAACCCTAAACCCTAAACCCTAAACCCTAAACCCTGAACCCTAGATAGCGCCGAGTAAACCCGAACCCTAGACCCGGTCGAAACCCGATAAACCCTGAACCCTTCACCCCAGCTTCACAGGCTTCGTCCCCTGGAGCTCCAACTTCAGGAGCTCCATGCGCAGGACCTTATCAGGGTTCAGGGTTTAGGGTTTAATGTTCAGGGTTTGGGGTTTGGGGTTTATAAGGGTGAAATGGTTGTAAGGGTTAATTACAAGGATTGTCAGGGTAAAACGGTCTATGAGGGTTTTAAGGCTGATGAGGATGACAAGGATTAAGTGGGCGACAGGTCTGTAGGGGTTGCAGGGGTTTCGACTGTTTGTAACTTCTGCCGCCGCCCTGGCGAAGAGCCTGCTGAGCATTAACTAGGAGCCTTCGAGCGAGGTCGTGTGCAGTTTGTTCGAGAATTCTGGCATGCCGCGGGTATGGCAAAGTCTGCAAAGTGTCGAGTGGTCTTGAGATTTTTCTCGAAGCCCCAAATACTAAACTCGGATGTCGCATCGTTCGGAAAGCTGTTGGGTTGTGTTGTTGTGTTTCTCTACTGAGTTTGCTCGTACTGAACTCCTTCGTGAACTCCTCATACCTCATGTGAAGGCAGAGATTACTCATATTTACAGATGGATAGAGGTAGTTTCCCTTCAGCCATGCACTACATGCTGTTGTGTTGTAGGCGTTGGTTTTCGGTTGATCGCTTGTGATCTAGATGTGAGGAGCGTGAGGAGCAGATGGCACGTCGAGGGAGCACGGCTAACTTGTTACTGTGTGTCGTCAGTGGTTATGGAAGACCCTGAACCCTAAACCCTAAGCCCTAAACCCTAAACCCTAAACCTAAACCCTAAACCTAAACCCTAAACCGCTGCGGGTGAGCTTGTGTATGTGGTACTTTGGCTGAAGCCTGGGCACCTCGGGAGTTTGCTGTGGGCGGGCAGCAGCAAACCCTTGAGGCGCAAGGCCTATCGCGAGCTGACCTTCGAGCAAAGGAGGACGAGCTGGTGAAATCTTGGAAGGCCAGGCTTTTTCTATATCCCCTTGGGATTTGTTTTTTTTAAACTTTTTGTTCAAATAAAATCCAAGAGGATATTGAAACTATTTTTTTAAGGTTCCAAGACAAGTGTAGTTTGTGGGATGGCCAGATGCATGTAGTCTATGCTACCTGGGCCTGCAGTCACGAAACACTCAGCCCTCTACCCCTCGTAGACTCTAAGGGCAGTTATATGGGCCCTTAACAGGGGACCCTTATATACCCCTTAGATACCCCTTGAATACCCCTTCTATACCCTATAAAACCCAAGGGCCCATACTTCTGAACCTCCATACTTCTGAACCCTTCAAAGAAGGTAAGCACCACATGCAGGGACCATGTAACTACCCTTAGACTTGAAACTCGAAACCCCAAACCCTCCTCAATCCTATTGAGAACATGTAGCCTCTCGGCCCGGAAATGGCGCGAGGCAAACCTTGAGCGGGTTCCTGTGATGCTAGCCTTTCTTTTCGAGTCCCTAGCTTCCACGGGTGGGATGTCATACAGTGATCACTGGCAGAGTTTAGGAAAGGTTAGGGTCTAGGGTTTAGGGTTTAGGGTTTAGGGTTTAGGGTTTAGGGTTTAGGGTTTAGGGTTTAGGGTTTAGGGTTTAGGGTTTAGGGTTTAGGGTTTAGGGTTTAGGGTTTAGGGTTTAGGGTTTAGGGTTTAGGGTTTAGGTGTTTTAGGGTTTAGGGTTTAGGGTTTAGGGTTTAGGGTTTAGGGTTTAGGGTTTAGGGTTTAGGGTTTAGGGTTTAGGGTTTAGGGTTTAGGGTTTAGGGTTTAGGGTTCAGGGTTCAGGGTTTAGGGTTTAGGGTTTAGGGTTCGACTGGAATTGCTGCATTTCTTGTGGCAGCCAAAATCGTCGGACCCGAATTCGCGCGGCCTGTGTGGATTCCCTTCCACCAAAGCCCTAACCCCTAAAACCCTAAACTGAGCGGTTCGTCCAGCCATGGGTGTGCCAAAAACCCTTAAAACCCGAAACCCTAAACCCGTAAACCCTAACAAAACAGGAACGGGGCTACTTTGACCCGAACCTCCTGGCCCGCGACCGCTCGAAACTCTTCGGCCAGAAGCTCTGCTTTTGAGGGCATCCTATATAGTCTGGCTTTTGGGGTTTAGGGTTTAGGGGTTAGGGCTTAGGGTTTAGGGTCAAGGTGGGCAGCTAGGCACCTGCGGCATCCGAAGTCTCCCTTGAGACACAGCGTAAGTCTAAGCCGGTTTACACCGTTTTTGGACGCCACCGTCTCTCTTGAGCTACCCCACAGCTCCCCGATACAGCAGTGCCAAGATTTTTGAAGAAGGTCTGACCGCGCTTGTGTCTCGCGTCGCGAGTCTGGCCCCCCCCAAAACTTGCCCGAAACCAACCCTAAACCCTAAACCCTAAACCCTAAACCCTAAAAAAAAAACCTAAGCTTCCTCTTCTCTGGAGGCCGGCGTCTCACCAGCGATGGGCAAGGAGTGGACATCGGCGTCCTGGCGCCGACGTATCTTCCACGGAGCGCACCCAAAGCAGGCCGAGCCGCAGTGTTTGTTGCCAGCTTCCTGGGTTTAGGGTTTAGGGTTTAGGGTTTAGGGTTTAGGGTTCAGGGTTAGGGTTTAGGGTTTAGGGTTAGGGTTTAGGGTTTAGGGTTTAGGGTTTAGGGTTTAGGGTTTAGGGGCCTTGCTCGAAACCCTGGTTTCCAGATCTCGCCTGCTCTTGCTGGGGCAAGAAGACTTGAAGGGTCCCAGAAGTTGGCCGAACAAGTAGCTTGGCTCTGTCATGCAGGTTGGACACTCGGACACACGCACAGCATGCGAACCCCAGCTGTTGCAACGAAAGAGGGCGGACCCCTGCCAGCTGGACAGCACAGCACAGATCTTCGAGAGGCAGAACTCTTCGCACCCAAGTTGTGTAAACACAAGAACAGCACCCCAACTTGCAATGGCTGAAGCCGCCTCTGGCTACGCTGGAGATCAAGGGGATGCACCTCCGGGCCTTCACTCCCTTGCCCGCGATTTCCCGCATAAGCCTTCCGGGTGTCTGAACCACGGATCCTTTGGGGCGGCCCCCAGCTGCGTCTTGGAGTCGCAGCGAAGCTATCAGAGGCGCTGGGCCGAGCGACCTGACGAGATGTTCTTCCGAGGTGAGCTCTTCGATCGTCTGCGACTTGCGGCCGCCAGTTGCATCCCCCTGCTCACGCGCAGCCCTGATCAAGTCCTTCCTACGCAAGTGGCCTTGATAGAGAATGCTTGCGCCGCAACTATATCCTGCTTGGGAATCAATTTTTGATTCTTGTTTATATAACACCCAAGAGGGTATTGAAATTAGTTTTTCTGAAGGTTCTAAGGGGAGATACAGGCAACTGCCATGATAGCACACCGCTGGTCCAAGCTGGTCCATCCGGGTGATGTGGTTTTCGTTCTTGACTGCGTGTACGGGGCTTGTCGGATGTGTCTCCGCGAATCTTGGTAACCCTGTGGTACCCTTTGCCCCCTGTTTTTTGGGGGGGGTTCAAGGTTCCCTTACAAACTAGCCAAGCAAAAAAGGGGTGCTCCCATTATAAGATGGTTGCTGGGGTACCAAGGAATACTGCTGCGCCGATCCCCGCATCGGTGGGGAGTTACTTGCCCTGAGCATCTTCGAGGACTACGGGGCTTTTCCCAGGTCCTCCGCAGAGATCCTTGGGGAGCAAAGGAACCCTAAAAGTTGGGGTCATAAACCCTATGCCTACACTACAAAAATCCCTATTAAAGTATATGAGCCGTAAACCCTATAGTTACTACTAGAATTCCCTATTAAGGGTAGTATGAACCCTAAACCTTATGCTACCATAGTTTTCCCTATTCAGGGTAATAGGAACCATAAACCCGTTTTGGGTTCATTTCGTCCTCAAGGATAGCGGAACGGTTCCGCAGCAGCCTGGCCAAGCAAGTCGAACGTCTTAGGCAGGCAGTTCATTCAGAGGCTGAGCAGCCCAGTGGCACCCTTTTACCCTTTTTGTTGGTAGGGTGTAGGGTGTAGGGTTTAGGGTGTAGGGTTTAGGGTTTAGGGTTTAGGCTTTAGGGTTCCCTTTACTTGAAAAGTAACGGGTGCCCTGATTATAATATGGTTAATGACTGGGCTACTTCGGAGGAGGAGGGCCAAGCACTGGCCCAGAATCAACCAGCTCCGCCAGAGCGAAAGGTGTTCTTCTTCTTGGACTATGTGTCGTCCCAGCCCGCCTTTGTTCTGCCTGTTGCAGAGATGTTGCGAGAAATCGGAGCTATCCTAAGCACAGACAGTGCAGGTTCCTCATGCCTGTCGTTGGGTGAGATCTGCATCGATGCTGCACATGCATTTGCAGTGGAGGGGCTTGATGTCGTGAGGCAATTCGAGGGCTTGTCTCCAGAACTGAGACCGCACTGGTGGTTTGCAAACCTGCACAAATGGGCCTTTGCCGCCCCAACAGCGACCGTGGTGTACGCCAAAGACTCAGAACTCATGAGTCAGACTTCTCATCCGATGGTCAGCTGGTTTTATGGCAAAGGCTTGCATGAAGAATGTCTGTGGGCAGGAACTCGCGACTACAGCGCCCTGCTTAGTGTGCCGTCGGCAGTGCGATTCTTTCAGACATGGCGTAGCAACCCGGACGCTGGAGCCCATGAAGGACTAAGTCCTGCAGCATTCTCAAAGGCAAAGATCCTTGAAGCCGGCAGATACCTCGCAGAACTCTGGGGGACAACCGATACTTAGTAGTAGAGTAGGTAGCCTTTAACCTTTTTTGGGGTATGAGACTTCCTTTGTAATCCCAAGGGTTAACCTTTAGTCCCCCAAGGATACTGGACAACTTTAAGGATACCCTGCCACATCCAGAGCTGGTGTGTGCTTTGATGATGGTGGAGCTCCCACGAGACCTTGACATGGGAGCGGCAGATATACCAGGTCTTCCCACGGCAGACACGAAGCTTAGAGATACTTGGGAAATAGTGCTTTGTGTTTCAGTTTTTGGGGCACCTGAATTCCTACGAACGGCCACGTTTTTTTTCCTTTTGCTAGGGTTCCCAGTTCAGTAGAGGAAGGAGAGGCGGAGCGTGCGATCGATGCTCAGGGACGACTACGGGGTCGAAGCTGCTGTGGGCACTTTCGGGCCCTGCGGCAACTTCATCCGCCTCTCCTACGCGGTCTACAACACCTGGGATGACATCCTACAGCTGGGGCAGGGGGTCATGGACATCCTGCGTGCGCAGCGCAGCAGCCCGAAGCTCAACCCTTGAGGGAGGCGCAAAAAAGAGCGCTGCCGGTTCCTGAGGATCATACGTCATACTCAGGAATATTTTTCAGAGGGGTTTTAAGGCCCATCCTAGCTAAGCTACTGCATTGCTTAAGTCAATGAGCACTCGAAAACCCAGAACATGTATCTCAATGCGGTGCCGAGGACTCGTTCCTTTCGGCATATCGAGGCGTTGCTTCAGGATGGGGTTTAGGGTCTAGGGCTTAGGGTTTAGGGTGTAGGGCTTAGGGTTTAGGGTGTAGGGCTTAGGGCTTAGGGATCTAGCTTCTCGTTAGAATGTGAACTATACTCACGGGCTTCAGCGTGCACAGCTTCCCGAGTCACCCTACATAAACCCCTGAACCCTTAAACCCTTAGTTTAGACCTTTAACCCCTTAAACCCTCAACCCTAAACTGGCAGTGTGGCTGGTCTGCGGCGGGTGGCAAACACAATGCCCTAAACTGGCCTTGCTAGGTAGACCCGTGGAATATCGTAAATTTCATATTCAGGAAGATTTTCCCTAATCCCTAAACACGAACCCTAAACCCTAAACCCAAACCCTGTTCAGGAACACTAAACCCTAAACCCTAACCCCTAAACCCTAAACCCTAAACCGGAGGCTTTTAAGGGCCATCCTACCCTTGGGCCCGGAAGAGATGCCAGGAGAGGCGAGGCACAGCCCACCGGCCACAACTCCCGCCCAGTGGGGCCAAGACCTCTTGGATCACAGCTCGAAGGCCGCGCTCTGGGTTGCAGATTTTTAGGGTTTGGGGTTTAGGGTTTAGGGTTTAGGATTTAGGGTTTAGGGTTTAAGGTTACTCGAAGGGCTTAGGGGTGGCTGGCTGATGGCAGTTTACGGGTGTGCTGGGCTTTTGGGGCTGTCGAGGTCTCATCGCACACCATGTGCCTAGAATCCCCAAGCCCCAAACCCTAAACACCACAAAACCCCAAATTCCAAACCCCAAACCCCCAACCCTAAACCCTAAACCCTACATCCAAGGGTCACTGCAGACATGAACCTACCAACCGATGCCTTGCCGGCCATGTGCGAGTGTGAGAGTCGAAACCCAAGGGATCTTCAGGAGTTCAGTCTTTGATAGGCCCTGGAGACATGGGGCTGCGTGCTGCTCCGCGGACTTCTGCTCCCTGAGGTGACATGGACAAGAGTTTCGGGGCCATGTCCTCACTTCCAGTAGTATTCGTGTGAACTGAGGGTTTAGGTTTAAATCTGGGTTTAGGGTTTAGGGTTTAGGGTTTAGGGTTGCAGCCTCGGGCTTCTACAAACGGAGCGGTTTCTTGTTGCTCATTTCTCTTGCTGCCGTGCTGCCTGGTGATGCTTGCCAGCTTCGTAGACATGCCGCTCGACGGAAATTTTCTCCCCAGCCTGAAATACAAACACATACAAATATGTGAACAAATAAACAAATATCTATATTTATGCATGTGTAAGAGTTGTGAATGTAAAAAACCACATAGATAAATATGTATATATATGTAGACACATAAACATAGATGTACATATATGTACACACCCTAAACCCTAAACCCTAAAACTATCCACTTCCGAATCCCGAAAGCAGAGGACGTCCTCGCCCTGCGAAAAGCTCTCGGGCTGGGAGGTCACCAAGGGCACCTCCGAGTCGTTTAGGGTTTAGGATTTAGGGTTTAGGATTTAGGATTCAGGATTTAGGGTTTAGGATTTAGGGTTTAGGATTTAGGGTTTAGGATGCAGGGTTTAGGATGTAGGACGATCATCGGGAGCTGACTCCACTGGTTCCTTCTTAGGCTTATTAGGATTCAAAAAGTCGGGTTCAAAAAGGTTCGCGTTGTTTTTTTTTCTCGTGATGTAGTGCAGTTATGTTTAGTCTCCTGAAGTATAGGGCTGTTTATAGGGTTTTCGATTGTGTGCGTTTCTCGGGAATTGGGAATGCTGTGTAATCTACAGAGTGTAGGTGCGTGGGTTTACAGGACGTGAGTTTGTTCCGTTGTGAACTTCCTCTATTTCGGACATCTGAGTTTCAGCTGACCTGTGTATTTGCGGAAGCTCCATGGTGTCCCCCAAGCGGCACCGCAAACGTGACCCCTCCAGCAACTTACTGTTGGTTAGTAGGGAGTGAGGGAATGAGGTACCCTATATAACCCCTTAAAAGGTATACATGTACATACCCACAACAAGCAAAGGCCCCGTGGATTTGAGCCGCCACGCCGGGCTGCCGAAGTTGGGCTTTGGGTGCACCTTGGGTCGATTTGGGTTTCTTTTCCAAACATCGGGTTTAGGGTGTAGGCTTAGGGTTTAGGGGTTTTCCGAAAATAGGGGTACCCTTTTTGGGGTTCCTATAGTAGGGATTCAACTACTTTCGGGGTATATTAAGTTAGTTATGGTCATGCCCCTTGGAAGATAGGAACAATCCATACACCCCCCCCCCACGCCCATACATCATTTTTCACTCATTTTTCACACATCCTAACTCATAGCCTTCTTCATTATCACATTTTTCACCAAAAACACGCATCGCACCTTATCCATTTTCCAAATCTATTTTTTCTCAATTTTTCCAGCATTTTTTGAAAATACATTTTTTCTCAAAAAATATTGTTGTATCTTAGCGAATTTAAAATCTATCAAATCTTGTCATATAGCCTTATTCATTTTCATTTATATCTCGTCTTATTCGTTTTTTCTTTTCAATCCTCCTTATTCGTTTTTAAATCGTTTAGCCTCACTCGTTTTAAATTTTCCTCAAATTTCTTAAATTTTATCGTTGATTATTAGCGGGTCTTTCATTTATAAAAATTCTTCCGGAAAATTATCTAAAATCGTATCTTTCCAATGGGCGTGATGGGGTTCATTCATTTTATCAAAATTATTCAATAATGTATTGTAATCTTCTGGATGGGCGTGAGGGGGTTGATAGAATTTAGGGTATTTTGGGTGGTTCGCGTATGCTACACGAAACTTCGTGTTCGGGGCTTGGAGCAGTAGATGATACAAGGTTTTGTTAATATAAAGGAATATTAACAAAATCTGTTTATCAATTTATTTTAGAATAGATTGTATCAATTACTGTTTCCTGGAAACAAATTAAAAATACTTCTCATTCTCTGCATCATACTGCGAATTTGATTGAGGGCTGAATGATTTAAAAAAATCCAGTAGAGCATCCGGCCCGATGCCCTACAGCATCCAGCCCCATGCCCTAGAGCATCCGGCCCAATGCCCTACAGCATCCAGCCCAATGCCCTAGAGCATCCGGCCCAATGCCCTAGAGCATCCGGCCCGATGCCCTAGAGCATCCGGCCCAATGCCCTAGAGCATCCGGCCCAATGCCCTAGAGCATCCGGCCCGATGCCCTAGAGCATCCGGCCCAATGCCCTAGAGCATCCGGCCCGATGCCCTACAGCATCGCGCCCGATGCCCTCCCTACTCCCGCCCGATGCCCTCCCTACTCGTGCCCGATGCCCTACAAAATCAAGCCCCGATTTTGGAAAAACTCAGTGTCATGGTAGTAAAAATATGGTTTTTAGGAGTTTTGTAAATAATTAATACAATATTTTTGAGATATTATTGTATTAATCATTCATATTCATACACACTACCACCATCACTATCACTATCACTATCATTATCACTATCACTATCGGTATTAAACCAATATTCATTAATGATATTTAGTAGAGAAAAACCAAAATCGCAATCATATAAATAGTGATGAGTTTCAACAATACTTCCGTGGTTATTATCCATAATATAAAAAATGACTTCTTTCAGTATGTTATAGTATGCATTTAATATATGGGGGTTTTTACGATAATATAAATGCTTAAAATCAAAAAACATATCAGCATTATCTAAATTATCATACAACCATTTCAACTTCTTATGTTGAAACTCAGTATATGTAATTAATCCCTTCAATATTTCATTTGTGATAAACTCATAAGAAGGAAATGGATTAAACTTAATAAAATAATATGTTTGAATTTCCATTAATGAATAGTATTTCCAATCAATACAATTTCCAATTACAGAGGTTATTTTAATGCACTTTGAACATGAAAAGAAATTACACACAGAAGCAATTGTATTATCATTTAAATTAATCTTGAGTTGTTTTTTTAATCCCAGTCGCATTTTCTTACATTCTTGGCAGTTATTAACAATTGACATTACATAATTCAGACTATTCATTAAATCATCCTTACAACAATGTTTGGGAATATCAGAACTGGTAGCGCTTTCTGTATCACTCATTTTCACACTAGTATATATACCTGTTATTTCTTTAAATGCTTTCTTCCTTGAATGGTTCAAACCCGTGAGGATTAAACCCCCTAGGGTTAGCTTTCAAACCCCTAAGGGTTAGCTTTCAAACCCCTAAGGGTTAGCTTTCAAACCCCTAAGGGTTAGCTTTCAAACCCCTAAGGGTTAGCTTTCAAACCCCGAAGGGTTAGCTTTCAAACCCCCAACTCCTAGAGTTTGCCCATAAACTCCTAGATAGTGCCCATAAACTCCCAGAGTTTGCCCATAAACTCCTAGAGTTTGCCCATAAACTCCTAGAGTTTGCCCATAAACTCCCGGAGTTTGCCCATAAACTCCCGGAGTTTGCCCATAAACTCCCAGAGTTTGCCCATAAACTCCTAGAGTTTGCCCATAAACTCCTAGAGTTTGCCCACAAACTCCTAGAGTTTGCCCATAAACTCCTAGAGTTTGCTCAGAAGCAAACGCAAGAGAAAACAAGTAAAAAGAAAAAATGAATAAACAAAATAAAGATAAACATAATTAATACAAATATTTAAGGTCATATTGTATTAATTATTTGCTTAGTAACTCTTGATGCTTGGCAGTTCTCTTATGTGAAGCCATATTCCGCGTGGATACATAACATCCACATTCACATAGCCTTTTCTCTTGTAATTTCATTGTAAGGGTTTCTTTGTGGTCTTCTCTATACTTCTTATCTACCTCATGTTTGTGTTCCTTTGTTCTCTCTCGGTATTCTTTT